GCCTGGGGGACGCTCCAGGACTGTGAGACCCACGTCTGTAGAACTTTTTGTTCATCTGTAGGATTTCTGTGGATCTCGTCTGGACAAGGAACTTCCTTGTCATCTGTTATTCCGAGCTGCACACCTGAGTCAGTGTCGGTGTTTCTGTGTTGCTGTGTATTTGTGTTGGTCGCGACCGGCCCCCATGGTCTGGGGAGCCCGATATTTTGGGGCTCAGCATGCATCTGAAGGATACGTGAACCTGAGCGAAGTGACAACCTCGCCATCTGATTTTGTTTTTTCAGTTCTTCCCCGGAGTCGCCCTAAGCGGTACCTTGTCGCCGGCTGTCTATTTTTGTTGTTTCTGTTGTTTGTCTGTTTCATTGTGATTTTAGATTACCCCAAAATGGGACAACACCTAACCACCCCCCTGAGTTTAACTCTAGATCACTGGAGAGAAGTTAAGAGCCGAGCTCACAATCAATCTGTGGAGATCAAGAAGCACCAATGGATAACCTTTTGTTCCTCCGAGTGGCCAACGTTTAATGTGGCCTCGGGATGGGACTTTTGACTCTGATGTTATTTTGCAGGTTAAAGCTAAGATCTTCTCCCCTGGACTAACGGGACATCCGGACCAAGTGGCCTATATAGTCACTTGGGAAAACCTCTCCCTCGAACCACCACCGTGGGTGACTCCTTTTCTCAGTCCTGCACGAAGAGTCCCCCTCCCTTCTGCCCCTAATCCGGACCCTTCGACCACCTCCTTGTGTCCTGTTGTGGTAAAACAAAAGCCTGTTCTGCCCCCTGATGAGAGTGCTCCTGCTGATCTGCTGAGTGAGAATCCCCCTCCCTACCACCCTCCCCCGCAGGCCGCTGCGGCTGTTCCAGATGAAGTCCCAGCAGAAGGACCGGAGGTTGCTCCCTCCCCCATTGTGGGGCGACTCAGAGAAAGAAGAGGACAGGGAGATTCCACACACGTCCTGCCCCTCCGACTCGTAGGAGGGGAAGGGAATCAGTTTCAGTATTGGCCCTTTTCTGCTTCAGACTTGTACAACTGGAAAACTCATAACCCGTCCTTTTCCCAAGACCCGCAGGCCCTAACGGCTCTGATAGAATCTATTCTCCTTACCCACCAACCCACGTGGGACGATTGCCAACAGCTCCTGCAAGTCCTCCTAACTACGGAGGAAAAGCAGAGAGTCATTCTAGAAGCCCGAAAGCACGTCCCGGGGGCAGACGGGAGACCGACCCAACTGCCAAATGAGATTGAGGCTGCCTTCCCTCTTACTAGACCTGCTTGGGACTTCAACACGGTTGAAGGTAGGGGACACCTACGTCTTTATCGCCAGGTGCTTGTAGCGGGCCTCCAAGGGGCAGGGAGGCGCCCCACCAATTTGGCCAAGGTAAGATCAGTAATGCAAGGAACCGATGAGCCGCCCACTGTGTTTTTAGAAAGACTTAAAGAGGCATATCGGAGGTACAGTCCCTTTGACCCGGATAGTCCTGATCAAGAAGTGAGTGTTTTGATGTCTTTCATATGGCAGTCAGCCCCTGATATCAGGAGTAAGCTCCAGAGAATAGAAAATTTGCAGGGGCAAGGTCTTAGAGACCTCTTGAGGGAGGCAGAGAGAATTTTTAACAAGAGAGAGACGCCAGAAGAAAGAGAAGAAAGACAGAAAAGAGAGGCAGAAGATAGAGAGGCAATGAGAGATAGGAAGCGAAATAAAGAATTAAGCAGAATCCTGGCCACAGTAGTAAGAAAGGAAGATGAGGGCAGAGTAGAAAAGAAGGGAGATAGAGGGCGTGTCCGACTAGAGAAAGACCAGTGTGCCTATTGCAAGGAAAAAGGACACTGGATAAAGGACTGTACCAAGAAAAAGAAAAAACAGAGGGAAGAAGAAGCTGAAATCCTTAACCTCGATTAGGGAGGTCGGGGCCAGGAACCCCCACCTGAGCCCAGGGTAACTCTTCGTGTGGGGGGAAAGTCAGTCACCTTCATGGTAGATACTGGGGCGCAACATTCTGTCCTCACCCAGACGACTGGCCCACTTAGCAAGAAAACAATACGGGTAGAAGGAGCCACTGGAGCCAAGCGCTACCACTGGACTACAAACAGGGAGGTTCAGCTGGCTTCAGGAACGGTGACTCATACCTTCCTGCATGTACCAGACTGCCCCTACCCCCTGCTAGGACGGGACCTTTTAACCAAGCTTGGAGCACACATCTATTTTGAAAATAAGGGAGCCAAGATTACTGATTCTAAAGGGGCACCTATACAAGTGCTCACCCTTAAACTAGAAGATGAATATAGACTGCATCATGATCCCCATCCTGTCCAAACAGGCATAGATCAGTGGCTGGCCAAGTACCCAGACGCTTGGGCGGAGACAGGGGGAATGGGGCTGGCCATACATCAGCCACCCCTAATTATTGAACTGAAAGCCACCGCGGCACCGGTGGCTGTTAAGCAATATCCTATGACGGCTGAAGCCCACCAAGGAATTAGACCACATATTAAAAGACTGCTAGAACAAGGAATATTAGTCCCCTGCTGGTCAGCCTGGAATACTCCTCTGCTGCCTGTTAAGAAACCTGGGAGCGGGGATTACAGACCAGTACAAGATTTAAGGGAAATCAACAAGCGGGTAGAAGATATCCACCCCACGGTCCCGAATCCTTATAACTTGCTGAGCACCTTGTCTCCTAGCCATACTTGGTACACTGTATTGGACCTGAAAGATGCCTTCTTCTGTCTAAAGCTGCACCACCAGAGTCAGCCCTTGTTTGCCTTTGAATGGAAGGACTCCAACCTGGGGATTTCCAGACAGCTTACTTGGACACGGCTGCCACAGGGGTTTAAGAACAGCCCCACCCTCTTTGATGAGGCCCTGCACCAAGATCTGACTGCCAAATTACTTGAGAAAATTGGAGCTTTCAACAACCCAGAAACAGGATACTGGGAGTACCAAGGGAAAACCGTCCTGCCTCAGCGATCGGTGGAGGGACTCCTAGATGAACTTCACAGGTGGACCCACTTGGGAGTAACCAAAATGAAAAAACTAATCGAGTGAGAAGAAGCCATTCATTATCTCCCAAACAAAGACGCCATCCTGCAAAAGGTTGTTAAGAACTGTAAAGCCTGTGCCCAGGTGAACTGGGGCAAAAATAAAGCCCAGGGAGGAGTGAGGCAAAGAGGTCACAGGCCTGGGGTCCATTGGGAAGTCGATTTTACTGAAGTTAAGCCAGGAATATATGGATACAAGTATCTGCTAGTTTTCATTGACACCTTCTCTGGATGGCCAGAGGCGTACCCACGAAGACAGAAACTGCTAAAATGGTGTCTAAGAAGCTATTGGAAGACATTTTTCCTCGATTTGGGATGCCTCAGGTAATAGGGTCAGATAATGGACCGGCCTTCGTCTCCCAGGTAAGTCAGACAGTGGCCAGGTTACTGGGGATCGAATGGAAATTACATTGTGCTTACAGACCCCAGAGCTCAGGCCAGGTAGAACGAATGAATAGAACTATTAAGGAGGCTTTAACTAAATTTTCGTTGGCAACTGGCACTAAGGACTGGGTGACCCTCCTCCCCCTAGCCCTATATCGGGCCAGGAATACTCCTGGGCCCAGTGGATTAACCCCCTTTGAAATTCTGTACGGGACCCCTCCCCCGGCTGTCTCTTTTCTTGATCCAGACATCTCTAACTTTGTTAGCACCCCTTCCCTGCAGACGCACCTGTGAGCGTTGCAGCTGGCACACGAAGAAATCTGGAAACCCCTGGCAGCAGCCTACCAAGATGCTGTTAACACCCCTATTGCCCCCCATCCCTTCCAACCAGGTGACACCGTCTGGGTCCGGAGACATCAGGCTCGAAGCTTAGAGCCTCGCTGGAAAGGACCGTACACAGTCCTCCTCACCACCCCTACAGCCCTCAAAGTGGACGGGATCGCAACCTAGATCCATGCCTCACACGTCAAAGCAGCAGAACCTGCGCACCGGGAGTCCCAAACAGGAGAGCAGCAAGAGAGATGGCGACTGACACGAACATCAAACCCTTTAAAGATAAGACTGGTCAAAAATTAATAACCAGAGTTCTGACCCTTATACTTTTAGTCAAAAACATAAGAGGTGGCCTTCAACCATTTAATGCTACTAGGTTTATGCTAACCCGGTATGGTCCCCCTTGTGAATGTAGAGGTGGCCATTGGGAAGCCCCACCCGGCACATATTTCCGATCTGTAGATTGTGGAGACAAGACTGCATACCTTGGTATTCATGGTACACCTACTCAGCAGCACCAACAGAGCTGGAAATGTGTGTCTAAGCCTAAACCTATCTTACCACCAGCTAATGGTGAGTGCCCCTCTGATTGTAATTTCGTCGAAGCTATGCACTCATCCTGTTATGCTTCTTTTACTGAATGTCGGTTCAATAACATCCTGTATTTTTATTCTACGGCCATTTCTTATAAAAAGGCCTCTGGGGGCTCAGATTGGAGTCTTAACACTCAGGTAATAGGACCAGAAAGTTATAATTCAAAAACCCTTAGTGCAGGCTGCTATGTAGAACCTGGACAAAAGGCATGCTGGCCTCAACAAGCTCCGATTCACATATCAGATGGAGGGGGCCCTACAGACCAGGTTAAAGAAAATTATGTCCAAACTGTGTTGCAAAAACAAAGGGAGTCTCTCTTGCCCCGCCTTCATTACCATCCACTATTGCTACCCAAACCTAGAGGCCTTAATTTAGACCCTCAGACCATGGAGATCCTTACTGCCACCCATGATGTCCTAAACCGTTCCAACCCTTCCCTGGCAGAGGATTGTTGGCTGTGTCTCGCATTAGGAATTTCATGGCCTCTAGTTTTACCTTTAAGTAACGAGTCTAATATACTCCCCTCTCCGGATATTTGTAGCTATACCACGCCTTTTAAGGTCCAGCCTCGCTACTTCAACACATCTATTTGCCTTTTTAGTCCCTTTCAAAATAATTCCTTTGATGTAGACCTCGGATTAGCTATGTTTACTACCTGCTCTAGGTTTATAAACACCTCTCAGACAGGCTGTTTAGGGGGGGGAAAATTTATGTATGTGGAAATAACATGGCCTATCCTTATTTACCCACTAACTGGACTGGTTCATGTGCCCCTGCATTGCTCTTGCCAGACATAGACATAATTCCAGGAGATGAGCCTGTGCCTTTGCCTAGCTTTGACACATTCGTTCCTAGGCACAAACGAGCGGTCCAGTTTATTCCATTGCTTATTGGACTGGGTATCTCAGGAGCCCTCGCTACGGGCTCAGCTGGTGTAGGAGTGGCAATAGACACTTACAACAAATTATCTCAACAGTTAATTAATGATGTAAATATGGTCTATCGGTCTGTACAAGATCTTCAGGACCAGGTAGACTCACTAGCCGAGGTTGTCTTACAGAATAGACGGGGACTTGATCTACTAACAGCAGACAAGGGAGGTATCTGTTTAGCATTACAGGAAAAATGCTGTTTTTATACCAACAAGTCCGGGATCGTCAGAGATCGGATTAAAAAACACCAAGAGGAACTAGAAAAAAGGCGACAGGAGCTTTTTGCTAACCCCATGTGGGGCATGTGGAACGGAATTCTGCCTTACCTTCTACCCCTTGTTGGGCCCCTGGTGTCCCTACTCTTAATCCTAACAATAGGCCCCTGCATTTTCAACCGGTTGACTCAATTCATGCGAGAAAGGCTGTCAGCTGTCCAAACCTTAGTGCTGACTAGCCAATACCAAGCCCTAGAAACAAGTGACCCTGATAATCTATAAAGGAGGGAAAGATGCCCCTCCATAGTTACAAAGAAAAAGGGAGGAATGAAAAAAAAAAAATTAAAAATTATAAAAGTCAGGAGCCATGAAGTCTCTCAGGCAGGTCGCGTACCGGTCAGGAATTCCAACTCACTGATAAGCAAGTTTTATGGCTGAGACATCTGGCTCACTGATAAGTAAGTTTTATGGCTGAGACATCTGGCTCACTGATAAGTAAGTTTTATGGCTGAGACATCTGGCTTACTGATAAGTAAGTTTTATGGCCGGGACATCTCCAACTCACTGATAAATAAGTTTTATGGTTGGGACATCTGGCTTAGTGATAAGTAAGCTCCCCGCTCTCCCTGTAGCATTTTGTAATAGTTTAAACGAACCAATAACCGCGTTTCTGCTTCTAACCTGACCTGAGGCGCGCAAGTCCCCCGAGGAGACTTTGTGCCCACAGGTACCTGTGTACTAAATAAACCTCTTGCTGTTGCAACCCGAAGGCTGGCTTGTCCTCTGTGGTTTTTCTCTCCTACAAGTGTTGAATGAAATCCATACATTGTTTGGCTACAGCCTCACCTTCCTTTTTGTCTTTTTTTTTCTCAACTTATTCAGCCCTCTATCCAAATTTGATCAAATTACTTGCCTAAGTAGGGAACTATAATTTCTGAGTTGTCCCTACAATATATAATGTTAGAGAATATAGTCATTTAAAAATCTTAGCTGGGTGTGGTGGGGCATGCCTTTAATCCCAACACTTGAGAGGCAGAAGTAGGTAGATCTCTGTGAGTTCAAGGCCAGCCTGGTCTACATAGCATGTACCAGGCCAGCTGGGGCTACAGGGAAACCCTATCTCAAAGAGAAAAGGAACAAAACAAGCAATTCCTAAGCAATATTGAAAGCTGCTGTCCACAAATCTGTTTAAATACTTCTCTATAAAGTGGGGCTAATTGACCAGCACAGCAAAGGATACTGGTGCAGTAGTGGCACTTTTATCTTGGGGGTAATCAACAGCTACTTAATTGGACTTAAAGCCCACTCAATGGGAGGAAACTCATGTCTGGTACTATAAACCTAGCCAAATACACATAGCTGGAGAGGTCATAGATCTTAGAGAAAACCCAAGGCTCTCATATCCATAGACAAATGTGATTTCTTACTATGTGCCAAATATGAACCCCTAAATTTTTTATATTTTATTACTTTTTGTTTGGCTTTATTTTTAATTATTTTTTTGGTCTTTTTGAAGCAGGGTCTCCCTGTAGCCCTAGCTGTCCTGGAACTCACTATGTAGATGTAGATCAGGCTGGCCTTGAACTCACAGAGATCCGCCTGTCTCTGCCTCCCAAGTGCTGGGACTACAGGCATGTGCCACCATGCCCAGCTATATTTTATTACTTTTTATGTGTATGAGTGTATTGTCTGCATGTGTCTAAGTGCACCCGTGTCGTGCAATGCTGGCGGCGGTCATAAGGCATCAGATACCCTGGAATTGAAGCTACAGATGGTTGTTAACCATGTGGGTGCTGGGAATTGAACCTGGGTCCTCTGTAAAAGCAGTCAGTGCTTTTAAGTGCTGAGCCACCTCTCCAGCTCCCTGGATCCTTAAATTTACAGAAAAGTATCCCAGTCACCACCCATCAAAGTAGCTTCTTTTTCAACAGACAAGAGATTACAGAGTTACACCACTGGTCACACACAGAGATGTTCTGTGAACTGCCCAAGCCTAAGTGTCACATTTAGGATGCAACCTCTATACTTAAAGACTCACAGAACATAGAACAAGGGTTGAAGAGAATACTAATGCATCTTTCAATGAAGTTCCCTCATGCAACAGAGGGTCAGGAACACAAAAGCCCACAAATGACCAAAATACAGAGAATAAGAGTTGGCAGAGTGTGGGTCATTGGACAGGTCTCCTATATTGAGGTCTACCCACCCAGGGCTCAGGGACCATTGTGGAAGAGGGGGTGGAAAGATTGTTAAGAGCCAGGGAGGAGGTACATGATCATAAAGAAATAGTACTACAGGTGCCAGGGACCCTTCTCATACAAACCTACAGCAATGGTGTCAGCATGCACAAGGCACATACAAACTTAGGCAGACAAAAACCCAGCACAGAACTGTGGAAATGAACAGCAAGCCCCAATCTTAGTTGGGAGAATTATTGGCAGCTGATTACTGCTGGGTGAGGAAGAGCTGATCTTGAACACTCTAGATAGGCTGACTAAACCGCAGTGAATGAACTTTCACTGAGGGACATCTCAGGACATAACTTCACATAATAGGCCTTAATACAAATGACAGAACATATGAACACCAACAGGGGAACAGGGGTAATGGGAGGGTGTCAAAGTGTTTTACCTAGTGTGCATGCAGGAAACCACCCTGGGTTCCAGCTCCAGCACCGCATAAACTAGATGGTGGTACACACTTGCAATTCTAGCATTTGTAGAGGATCAGAAGTTCAAGTTCATCCTCAGCTACACAAAGTAGCTTCCAGCCTGGGATACTTAAGACACCGTTTCCAAATAAGTACATAATACTAGTGCCTCTTCAACAGCTACACAGTAAGTTCAAAGCCAGCCTGGGCTACATGAGACCCTGCCTCCCCAAACCTGCAGTTTGTGGTCCAGTCTAGACAAATTGGCCAGCTTCATCAGGAGACCCTATGGTCAAAAAATAAATAGCCAGGTACCCACCTCTAATCCCATTACTGGGGATGCAGAAACAGCTGGACCTCTGTCAGATGGAGGCTAGCTAGTGCTACAGGGAGACCCTGTCCCCCAAAACAAAAAAGTGAAGACACCTGATGTCAACGTGTGGTTTCCATGTGCACATACATGCACACACAGGGGCATATACCTACAAAAAATATTAAAAACTACTTTCATCACAGCATGTTGTGCAGGGGATTTCCTATATGGATAATGTTCAATATTTATAAACGGATGAATTAGGTCTCAAGTATGGAGAATGGAGAATGAGTGTTTTTACCATGAGAGTAGTAGGGATGTTTGGTGGGGACTTTGTAATGAGCTGAAGTTCTTGGTTCATTATCACACAATGTAAATGACCAAGAAACTATCTTACTTAATTCCTGTTTGTTTCATCTTTTCCTATCTTTGCAAGGTCATCACTGGAGATTCACATATTTCACGAGACACAAGATTTTTTTTTTTTTTTTGAGACATGTATAGATGCTTACTTTTATTGCAATGCTAGAGACTGAGGTACGTGCTCTATCACTATCACCCTAGCTTTTTTTTTTTTTTTTTGGGGGGGGGGGTTTTTTTGCTTTTTTTTTTTTTTTTTGGAGGGGGGGTTCTTTTTGAGACAGGGTCTCCCTGCCTGGAACTGTGTAGACCAGGCTGGCCTTGAACTCACAGAGATCTGCCACTTCTGCCTCCCAAGAGCTGAGATCAAAGGCGTGCACCACCACAACCTGGTCTTTTTTTTAAGTGTCTCATGTATTCTTGGCTGGCCTTCAACTTGCTCTATAGATGTGAAAAACATGTGGCTGGGGCTGGATGGTTCAGTCCTTAGGACCCAAGTTCAATTCCCAGCATCCAAATTTGCCAGCTTACCACCTTTACTCCAGCTCCAGGGATCCAATGTCATCTTCTAAGCTCTGCAGGCATACACACACTCACACCATACATTCACACACACATACACATACATGAATCAAATACTTAAGGTTTATTTCATATTTATGTGTATGCCTGTACTCCTGTATAAATTATACATACCATGTACATGCAGGTGCAAACTTGAGGCCAGCATGGGCTACTTCTGTTTCAACAGAATACAAAGGAACAAAAACCTCAGTGAGTCCTGAACACAAAAGCAAAATGAAGTCTGAGATAAGAATCCATAAAAAAAAGTGGAGTGTGGTAGCACACACCTTTAATCCCAGCACACAGGAGGCAGAGACAAGTGGATCTCTGTGAGTTCGAGGCCACCCTGGTATACAGAATGAGTTCTAGGCCAGCTGGGGCTACAAGGAGACCCTGTCTCAAAGATTAAGAAAAAAAAAAGCTGTATCAATGGTATAACTGTTTTATTGGGCTCACTTCAAGATTATTCAATAAACTTATGACTTCTCTGATTATTGTCTTTTTATAGCAAACAAAATACATTTCAAAGTTTTCTGATACTTAGTTGGAAAAAACACAACTCTGCAGGTTTGGAAAATAAAAATCAAATAGAAATACATTAGAACTGTATAATCTGTTTACTTTTTGCACTATTATATTCTCTTATTCAGGTCACCTTTTCCATCTTTGTACATTTAAAGAGCCTTTTGGAAATGAATTTAAAATCTTTGTCTTCTTCAGTTTGCTGTAAACCTCTTGAGAAGCCTGAGAAATCTCCAGATAGCCAGCATGCTTTCTCTTAGGAACAAACTTCAGAGCTTCTTCCCAGCTACCGGTGTTTTTCATGGATAGCAAAATACGGATCATCTGATCTAAAGTGAGGTTTTTGTTACCAATTTCCCATTGTAAATACTTATCTAATGGAAGACGCTCTGTTGCCAGATTTAGCCGTTTTGCCTTGGCTAGGGACATGCCTCTCTGCGAATTTCTATCAACAAATGATCCAATTATATAAATTTTATCATGCTTGAAAGTAGTCATAACATTGGGAGAATCTGCAGTTAAATATATAATATTGTCCTTTGGAAATAAATCTACATAAGACTTTTCTGTTGCTGTTAAAAGCAGTTTGTCCCATTTTTCTCCATAGCGTCTCACTAGCTCTCTATGAAAAGCACTGTCTAGTTTAAGATTGCAGAAATAAATATGGAAAGGATCAACATTTCTTCTGTTACATCCTTCACTTTCTAAGAGTTGAGAAACCGTATTGTGCAGTTCTTTTAGATTCATATAATTATCATAACCCATGTCAAAAACCAAAGGTTGTCCAAATTGCATAGCCTGGACACCCTTCCAGCCCCACGCATTACTAATAAGCCTGTCCCAAAGTCGAAGAAATAAGAAGTCTTTTTGTTCAGCCTCCTCAGTGGTTTCAAGCAACTTGGCTTTTTCCCTTGCTTCTGCTTTCACTTCCTTTTTTATCTGCTTAGCTTTTTTCTTTCTTTCCTTACAAAACAAGTACCTTAAGTATTTTTTTTGGGCTGACTTAGAAGGACATTCCATAATGACTTTGAGCTCTGCTTCTGTAACATGTTCCGGCACTTCTCTGCCAAGCAATCTCCACATCTCAATTAATTCTCTGGTGGCAGCTAGAGTATCTTCCTTGCTTGAGACTGTGGAAACACCGTCTTCTTCTTGCATGCTAGATTTCATTGCAGTTTTCCACCCATCCAATTCTAGCTGTTCAGGAGAGGATGTACTATCCTTATTAGGATAGGACAAAGAAGGTATCTTGGAAGACATGCATCTCTGCAGAACTGCTGAATATAAATTCCTTCTCTTCCTATGAAGGGTATATGGCACCAAGAACCTGGCAAAAGGCCTTAAGAAACACACAGTAATACTCATTTTGAAGAAATATGAAGAAACACCTATAAAAAATAAATAAAATCAAGTTAGACCAAGAGTTTTTAGTTCTAGGCTAGCTGGGGCTGAAGGGAGACCCTGTCTCAAAAAGACCAAAACAAAAAAACCCCTTTATAACCATTCAAATATAACTTTGATACCAAAAACACAATTCTTCTTAAAGGTAGACTGGATGTGAGATTTGTTAGTGAGCACGATTGGTGGAATGTGGGACTTAACACAATGGAAGCCCTTAGGAGGGCTTCCCCTCCACCACTCCAGGGGACCATGACTAGGGATACATTTGACTCCATATTCATGAGGGAAGAGCTACTTCTTTACTACCACGTCTTCAAATTTATCTGCATTAAACTAAGGGAAGTCCCACTTCTTTGAGATGTGGATCTCCTGGTTGCTAGGGAAGTTGAACTTGGCTCTATGCAGGGCCTCAATCACATGCTCCTTATTCTGTAGCTTGGTGTGGATAGACATGACCACCTGGCTAATGTGAACCCTGGCCACTGAGCCCCAGTTTCTCAAGACAGCCTGCATACCTGTCTAGAGCCTAGATTAGGTATAGTAAGAGATCAGAATCATGAATATCCACCAGAAAACTGTCTCCAAGGTTCCTTTGGGCAACCCATACATGCAACAGGTTGCATACACTAACCAAGAAGACTGCTGTTTACAGTCACTACACACCAGGCTCCCACGCGGAAAGAAACCTGGTCAGCTTAATTGGCTGCAGAAGGCAACTGATTTCTGAAGCACAAATTGAAATTTTTATACAACTTACATGTTACCACTAATTTTTCCTAAACGCCTATGGTCTAGATAGAGCTTGTGATCACTTACTAATCAAAAACAAATTTTAAACTTGTTTATTTTGTGAGAAAGGGGTCTTGTTATACTGACTAGATGGTCTCAAAATGACTAACCTGAAATGATCTTTCTGCTTCAGCCCCAGAAGTAACTGATACTACAGCCATGCACCACCACACCTTGCTCCAGGTTCTTCTTTTATACATGAATTTCAACATATTTTTAAGTAAAAGAAAAAATCCTTTTTAGATTTGTAGATTTTTGTATGTGGGGTGGGACTAGCTCTATAGCAAGGTTAAATGTCAATAATGTAGCAGAGACCATGGTGCACTCATCTCCAAATACATATCGAATCTCAAGATCCTTCAGAAAAGCTATGCACAAAGACAAAGAACAAGAAAGTTATATAAGATGGCAACTGATAAAAATAAGAGCTGCTGGACAGATGCCCTTGTGTTTTCAGAACAGAAATATAGAGCTGCTGATTTTTTCAAAGAAGTTTCAGTTCAGACTTTATAGCAAGTAATATTATATGTAAAAAAACTGGAACAGATATGCATAAAGCTCCATTATCTTATCCTGAAGAACTGGCTGCTACACAAGACAATGAGGATGCTTACAGCTGCCCACCAACGTAAAAATTTGAATGAAAAAGGAAATTCCTGAATAATGTCATCCCTCCAAAGGGAGGCTTCTTATAATGATACATTCTCCTCAATCTTCGGCCTCTGTCTGTACACTGATTCCCAGATGTACCCCCCTCCCAAAGTAAACATGACTGTGTTCTGTCCTTATTCCTTTTTAAATCTATTTCTCCTGTGAGTTTTCATCTATAATCACCATGCAGCAAAAAGAGACCTCAAATGCAAGAAAGTGAAATCTCTTTCCCTTCTCAACCTGCTTATCCTGTTCTGTTTCAGGATACTGCTATCCAACCACAAGCCTGATCTACCAACCCCCATACCTGATCTAGTGCTCAAGCTATTTAATTACTAGCCTGTCACATCCACCATGCCCGATCTATTTGTGATATTCACTTTATCTATATACTTTTAAAGTCCATTCATTTCTCTACAACCCCCTTTCTTTAACTACATCCGTAGCCTACAGATTTCTTTCTTCCATCTGCAAGTCAGTCAGGTCATTGCTTTATTTTTTGGGACAGGTTGTCCCTAGCCCTAGCTGACCTGAACTTACTACGTGGATCTTACTTGATCTTAGAGATCCACCTGTCTCTGCCTACTGGGTACTGAGACTAAAGGAGTGCATCATTATGCACAGCAAGTCAGTACTTTTTTTTTTTTTTTTTTTTTTTTTGGTCTTTTTGAGACAGGGTCTCCCTGCAGCCCCAGCTCCTGGAACTCACTATGTAAACCAGGCTTGCCTTGAACTCACAGAGATCCGCCTGCCTCTGCCTCCCAAGTGCTGGGATTTAAGGCGTGCACCACCATGCCCGGCATGTCAGTACATATGTTATCAGTGACATTTGTAGCATCCCCAGCTGACTGCTGCTAGGTTCAGGTCTGGGCTTATTAAAACATACCGTTTTTTCACGTATATCCTTTGCTTACCTTTTCAGCTGCATCTCTGTTCCTCAATCCAAACTTTAAATATTCCTATTAGTTTTTATAGCACCCTGTGCCTATGAAAATTTCTAACACTACATTATTTTCCCCACTAGAAGACTACCATCAGGGCAAGGACTGTGTCTCTACTGACAAACATGCATTCTCTCATACCTTTAATCCCCTAGTGAAACCCTGCTTCAAAAGAAAAGAAAAAAAGGATCATAAAAACAAAATCTTTGTTGAATTTTGTCTTTGTGACTAATACCATAGAAAACACCATAATAATGAAAACCTAAAAATCAAAGTGTTTTTTGTTGTTGTTTTTTGGGGGGCAGGATCTCCCTGTAGCCCCAGCTGGTCTAGATCAGACTGCTGTCACATGAGATCAGCCTGCCGCTACGTCCCAAGTGCTGGAATTAAAGGCCTGCATTACCAGGCCTGGCGAAAACCTAATTTTAAGAAAAGATTTATTTTTAAATTAGGTATGTAGGGGGAAGTACGTGTTCGTGTATGCGGGTGCCCGAAGCGGCCAGAAGCATCCCTGGAGCTGGAGTTAGAGGTGGGTGGGAGCCGGCCGACAAGGGTGCCGGGGAAAAGTGAGAGCAAGGAGTCGTTTTGGGAAACACCGCTTCGGTGGCAGGGGTGTACTATTAGAGATTATAATCACTGCGCTTCCTCCCATCAGTAGGTCTTAGCGCACATACTCTAAAACATGCCTCCCGGAAAGCCACTAAGTCTTCCCCAAACACCCGCAGAGACCGTACCAGGAGTGCTGAGGCAGGGTTCGGAGCAGGAATCCGCTTCGGGCGGCCGCAGGGTGCTCCTCACGCTCGGTCCGCACAGCTCTAGCCGACCGCACAGCTCAGAGCGACGAGTAAGCGATCTGCTGCCGCCGGAAACTCCTTCCTAACCGCCGGAAATAGGCCCCCCGGAAGCCCGCCCCCTTTCCCGGCGCTGACTATGACGTCACGGGAGGCGGGCAAAATTTCCCAACTCTAAGCCCGGCTGCGATTTGAATAACAGAAATGAAGCTCTCACAGCCCAGCCTGATGGCTCACGCCTTTAATCCTAGTACTCGAAGGGCAGAGGCATGAACTGGCCTGTGTCTTGCTACCAGCGCGCCCCCATTTAGCTTAAAAACTAGAACCCTCTTAACCGTCTCTCTGTCTGTGCTCGGTTACTATAAGTGTGTGCTAACAAAAAGATTGTCTCAATTCCACTTTGAACGCTTTGCTGCTTGGACTGTAAACCCGATTGTCTAACCACCAAATCCTACTACAATGTTTGGCTAGTGTCTCTCGTCTCTTTTTCGCCTCTGCTTTCCACTCTTATTTTCATATTCTCTCTTTCCTTTTTTCCTCTTTCTCTCTCCCTCTCTATGGCTCCCTCTTTCTCTTCCTCCCTTCCCTCTCCTAGTTTTTTTTTTTGGTAAATTAATGGGAAAATGTTGAGGCACCTTTGTTCATTGGTACTGGGGATTGCACCTAAGATTTGTTCATTGGTACTGGGTTTGAACCTTAGGCCAAAATCTAGCCTGCAAGTGTTTTGATAACAGTGCTCTCAGGTGTTTGGATTTAGCTGTCCTTGTAAAAACATGGCCATTCCTTACGAGAAATTTCTTTTTCAACAAATGGTGATAGGATAATCGGATGTCTCTATGAAGAAAGTTGAATCCTTACCATATATGAAAACTAATTCAAAATGGATCAAACATATAAGGGGGGACAAAGAAGGAAACATAAGGGGAACGGCTTTATGACACTAGATTCGGCAGATTACACGAATGTAACACCAAAACACAGGAAACAAACTGAAGAACAGGCAAATTTAGCCTCATAAAAAATAGAAACTTCGGGTGTTTCTGTTGCGGGGCTTCGTAGCCCGAGTTAATCTTAAGCCGCTGAAGGGAACCATGGCCAACACTGAGCGTACATTCATTGCTGGTCAAGCCTGATGGGGTCCAGCGGGAGCTTGTGGGAGAGACCAACAAGCGTTTCGAACAGAAGGGATTCCGCCTTGTTGGTTTGAAATTTATGCAGGGCTTCGGAAGACCTCAAGAGGCACTGACTGCATCGACCTGAAGGACCGCCAGTTCTTCACCCACCTCGAGAAATACACGCATTCAGGACTAGTGCTTGCTGTGGTCTGGGAAGGGCTGAATGGCTGAACGTTGAAAAGGCAGGGCAAGTGAAGCGTGGGGAGACCAACCCTGCGGATTCCAAGCCTGGGACCATCCGGGGAGACTTTAGTACAGAGATCAGCTTGCGGTTTCAGCCCGAGGAGCTGGTGGATGACAAGAGCTGTGCACAGGACTATGAGTGACAGAAGGGCAGGCCACCGTGCTCTTCGCTTCTAACCCCCCCCCCCGTTCCTATGGCAGGGGCCAGACTGTAGTAAATCTAGTTATTTCTGGAACTTATAACTTAGAAGGAAACTCTGGAGCTGTGAGTGCTCCCATCAGATGAAAATGCTCCGTACCAGTATAGGGTCAGGTGACTTAGTTACTTGATAGTTCTGTTTTTTGTGTTATTTCCTCTTTGCCCTTCCATGGATAACCTGAGGTAACAAAATGTAAATGCTATGTAAACTGCTAAAAAATAAAAAATAAAAAGAAACTTCGAAGTGGAGAGATGGCTCAGTGGTTAAGAGCACTGACTGCTCTTGCAGAGGACCCTGTTTGGTTCCCAGTATCCACATGGAGGCTAACCAAGATCCTTAACTCCGGTTCCAGGGGATCTTCTGCCCTCTTCTGTCCTCTATGAGTATGGCGGGCACGGGTGTACTTACAACCAGGTACAACACTCATATAAAATAAAAAAAGAAACTTTATACAGGGTTGGGGAGATAGTTCAGTGATAGAGTATTTGCCTAGACTGCACAAAATCTTAGGTTCAATCCTCAGTACCACAAAAAAAATAACAAGAAAACTCCAGGCACAAATATCCAGTATGTAAAACTATATATACAAATTTTTACAAATGAACAACAAAGATCAAATGCTTTTCCAAATAAACTTCAAATAACCACTAAACACATTAGAAATGTTCAACTTTTTTTTTTGTCTTTTTGGGACAGGGTCTTCCTGTCGCCTCAGCTGACCTGGAACTCACTATGTAGACCAGGGTGGCCTTGAACTCAGAGATCTGCCCCCCTCTGCCTCCCTAGGATTGGGATCAAAAGCGTGCACCACCATGCCTGGCAAAATATTCAACATCTTTAACCATGGAAACGAAAATCAAAGTCACAATGAGATAACATTTATTATGATGACTATATAAAAATCTAGAAAAATATGGGCCGGGTGTGGTGGCGCATGCCTTTAATGCCAGCACTCGGGAGGCAGAGGCAGGCGGATCTCTGTGTGTTCAAGGCCAGCCTGGTCTACACAGTTCCAGGACAGCTGGGGCTATGGGGAGACCCTGTCTCAAAAAGATAAATAAATAAATAATGATTATGCCATCAGAAAAATTTTTTCCTTATGCATTTACTGGACAAAACACACATCACAAATCAGCAAAGGTTGTTAAGTTCTTTGCTGAATTACCATAATAGCTGCACATGGTGTTATATGCCTATAAAACCAACACTTGAGAAGCTAGGGCAGTAATAGCTCTAGTTCAAGGCTACATAGTAAGACCCTGTCTCAAAAACAAAACAACAGGGCTAGAGAAATGGCTCAGTAGTTAAGAGCACTTGCTGTTCTTGCAGAGGACCCAGGTTTGGTTTCCAGCACCCACATATGGCTAACAACTATTAGTAATTCCAGTCCAAGGGGATCTGATGTCCTCTTCTGGCCTCCATGAGCACCATATACACATGGTACATTTACATACATGCAGGCAAAACACTCATACACATAAAATACATAAAACACAAACAGCAAACTAAATTACTATAACTTGCATCAGACATATAAAAAGTATCTTTTCAGCTACATACATATGTATATAATACGTGTTTGTGTGCATGTGTGTGTAGTCTCATGTATCCCAGGTTGGCCTCAAAGTGTTTACATAGCTAAGGATGATTCTGAATTTCTCATCCTCTTGCTTCCACCTCCTGAGTGCTGGCATTACAGATGTGCGTAATTATGCCAAGTTTATGTAGTATCGAGGATCAAACCAAAGGCTTCACGCATGCTAAGCAAGCATTCTGATAACTGATATATACCTCCAGCTCATAGATGTTATTTCTGATGGGCTTTTACTAATACAAAAAGAGCTTCTAGGTCATCTTTATTCCTTTAAGATCTCTAGAAATTCATAAGACCTTCTAGATTTGAAAATTTACAAGGTACTCAAAAAATTGACATTAAGTTACAAGTCTTCATGTTTACTTACTTTTCACAAAATGCTCCATACAATTTTTAAATGATATAAAGAAAACATTTTTTGCATTTAAATAAGTATCTTAAAATAGAGGGTAGGCTTATGAAGCAGCATGGCAGGTTTTCACTTGCAAACTGGATTAGAAAGCAACTCCCAGAATTCCAGAAGCATTGTAGGGATATTATCATTTTAGTTTTTGACTAGGCTATAGGCATTCAACTAGGAGTCAAGGGATCTGGGTTTTAGTTTGTTTCTGTGTCCTAGTTTGTTTCTTCATTGCTGTGACAAAATACTCTGACCAATACCAACTTGGGGAGGAAAGGGTTTATTCAGCTTACAACTCACAGGTCACAGCTCATCAGGGAGCCCAAGGTAGGAACTCAAGACAGGAACCTGGAAGCAGGAGCTGGAGCACAGGCCATGGAGGAATGCTGCTTACTGGCTTGCTCTCCTGGACCCTGCTCAGCCTGCTTTCTTATGCAACATAGGCCCACCTGCCCAGGGGTGGCACCACCCACAGTGGGCTGGGCCCTCCCACATCACTCATCAAGAAGGTGCCCCTCAGATGCCCCTCAGACATGGCCACAGGCCAGTCCAATAGAGGAAATTCCCCAATTGAGGCTCCCTCAACTCAGGTGTGTCAAGTTGACACCCAGGATTAGCCAACACAAGTTCATCTTGCATTTTGTGATCTTGAACAAGTCTCCCAGCTTGTGCATACTGGAAGCTCCATCATAGACTGCAAGGGTTAAATCACAATTTTTTCATTTTTTTATTTTTATTTTTTTATAGCTGTTTGGTTGTCATGCCATAAAATCAGAGTGGCATGACTCAGGCTGTTGGCAATTAGGGATTTTAGAGTCTATGTTTAGTGTACAGACTTAAATTCTCTACTTTCTGTTGTTTTTGAGGCAGGATCTCCCTGTTTCCCTGGCTAGTCTGGAACTCCCTATGTAGATCAGGCTGGCCTCAATCTCACAGAGAGCCACCTGTCTCTGCCTCCTGAGTGCTGGGATTAAAGGTCTTCATCACCATGCCTGGCTCTAATTTTTTTTTAAAGATCTACTTTTTAAAGTTTGGTTCTTTTTGTGTATTCCATATAAGGTTTGTGTCTTTACATATATTTTCCTTTTTAGCTGCCTCTTTATAGTTAACAACAAAAGCCCCTCAGGGATGTGCTTTTTGTTTCTTGCCTTTACTTTTTTTGGCTTCCTTTTTCATTTCTCCAAGGTCTTTTCTGGAGTTATAGTAGCCAAAAGCTTTTCCACCTTTTCATAAGATTTACCACCCTTACCCCAAACCACATCACTCTTCCTGAGTTCTAAGACCTTGGAAAATTATTGGACAGAAGAGCTCTGCCTTCATTTCTTTCTCAGATGGAGGCACTGTGATCACTATGTTTAGCACCTCAGTTGTCAGATCTGTCACAGCAATTTGTTTGGAGCCAGGTTTGGTGTGGATTGCTACTGTGAATTAAGTTCCTAGAAAAACTGTATCTTAAAATTGAACATTCTACAAAGGCTGATCAATTGATTAGAACTTCAGTGATGGTGGAGAGTTTGGAATATTGCAGGTCCAGAACC